TGTATATCAGTTGGACACGGGGCAATTGGACACAGTCCAATCACAAGTCGCTGTTCCAAGGGACCCTACAAATGTCTCTAATCACACGGTGCTGTGATTGGCTGTGTCCAAATGCACCGTGTCCAAGTGCACCGCTCCCTGATATTTCTATAAGGGAAACAAACGCCGTTCAACATATCTACTTCAATTCGTACGGCACCCAATTTCCTTGCTTCTGAATCATTCCCATGGCTTTAAGACGTTTTGAAATGGCTTGTTGAGTCACTCCCAATGATCGTGCCAATTCTTTTTTATTTTGACACGAGTCTTGATCAAGTAATGCCATTCTGCATCTTCGAAAACTTTCTCTCTTCCACCGCTATGCCGGTCTTTGACGTCAAAATCACCATTCTTGAAGCGTTGAAACCACTCACGACACGTTCTTTCACTAATAGCGGCCTCACCAAGTATTTGAGAGCATTCGATGAGCCGCAGATTTCTTCATATTGAAGCATAAAATTAAAACCTCCCGCAAATGACGAGAATTTGGCTCGTAAACTGACATTTTCAATCGAGAATAACTTTATGATGCAGACCCAAATCGACTGATGTTTCTATGGGGTTATGTTGACCGATGCCCAAGTTTATTGTATGACGTCTATAATCTATTTATTTCGACCACCACTTACCGCTAAAGCCATCTATAGGAAAACGGCGGAAGCAAAGTTGTACATCTAATAATATTGTATAGGGGGTCCCATTTGAAACTTTGAAGTTAGCTCACGCCCCTCTTCAAGGGAGAACGGAAGTGGATTTTTGTTTACGTAGTTAGAAAGGCCCTTCGAATATATAAAACTTTCTCATGAACAACTTTTTGATAGGACAAATATGTTTAGAGTTATTAACTTGTAACACTTTACGTGGGCCATCCTGCATATATACAGGGTGAGTCATTTTAATCGAACCAGGCAAATATCTCGAAAAATATGGAAGATACGGAAAAATATTTCAAACAAAAGTTGTATGGTTCGGAGGGGGACGTAAGATGGTGCAATTGGCTTGACACTAGATAGTCGTTTGAAAGTCACCTGAAGGTCACCTTCAATTTCTTAAGTGGAAACCTCCATTTTTCATTGGATATTTTTGTAGTTTACATGGAGAGCTTTTCAAAACGCTATAATAAAATGTCTTTTCATTAAGTATCTTTCAAGTTAAAAGGCTTCAGAGTTACAATATTGTTGCCATTAGCATTGGTACCCAAGGTGTTCGACCGACGGCTGAAACCATTTGAATGTTGTTCAGGGCCATGACCTTGTAACGAGCCGTTCGCAAAACAAATAGAAATAGAAATAGAACAAGAACCGGGTAACGATAATCAAACGACTCGTCACGAAACCGAACACGCGACAAACCGATGTAAACATCAGCGACCGACCGCAAAGATCACAACATAATATCATGTTAAAAGTAGTATAAAAGACCGCACGAAAAGCTCAGTGGAGAGCAGTCTTCCGAGGCACTCCGCTGAACAGAGCTCAGACTCCGACAGCACTAGCACCTCGCGAACACCGCTAACTAGAACACCGT